GTCAATACGGCAAGGCCTCAGTTTGAGATTTTCCCGTAACGACCTCACTCTCGGTTATTAAGTAGTTAATGTTATAGTATTACGGAAAAGTGAAATCAAAGAAATAGTCCGACAGGCAATTTATACCGGTGGCCTACTACGAGGGCAGTCGCAATGAAAACCGTGGCTTTAATTAAAATTAAAAGCAAACAAGGGGTGTGAAAAATCACTAGCACGTTTTAAAAGTAACCATTTTCCGTGTCCTTATAAAAAAAAAGAGTACCTAACAAAGAAAAGAGACTAATTATCTAAACATGTTGTAATCCCTTACATGGTACTGGCTTACATTTAGCTTAACGTAGGTTTGAAAAACCTTAAAGGATTATAGCTAGCGGTCTTTACCGGCGATATCAAATTTAGGATTTTGTCTATCTCCTTTTGTCGATTAAAGCCGCTACAATTTGGCAAAACAACAAGTGCCAATTAATTTGTCCAACTAACAACAAACTGTTCGCGCTCGTTAGCATTCTTGTTGTATTGCATTGTAAACGGAGTTCAGTAATTAAATTACTTCCAAAATTAGTTTATGTCAATACAAGCAAAAAGGTTGTTAGCAGATATACTTTTCTTTGACGAAACTGGACGCACTGCGAAACAGTCCGGGAAGACTCTGCTCAATACGGTATAGCATGCCAAGATGCCAATTGATTACTGTAAAAACATTAGGGAAATTGAATCGCCGGTTATTTCAAGAAGTTCTCATTTCTGCTTCATGCTTCAGTGTCCTCAATTATAGCAGATTGAGGCTTTGTCTCTTAGCACGCGGACTTAAGAAAGGAAGCAAAGCTTCCTAAGAACAGCCCAAATTCGTACTTTCATCACACGTTTGTTTTTCATTTTTTCAACCGCTAAATGAGAAGGGTACAATTTTGATTGTTTCTGATTTTATTAACATCCAGTAAACATCCTTCCACTCTTTCAATTGTCAGCAGCTGGCATTTCTGTGAGCGCTAAACGCTAAGGAGAACGGAAAGCACTCAGGAGAAAGGAAAGGAAAGAAGGATTTTAATTTCTTTTCGAGAGCCCGGCATTTCTGAAACGACTTTTGTCAATTAACTTTGCAGCAGCCATGGATAGCGGTGGTGCAATGTCATTCTGAGTATTGGTGGGGGGGGGAGGGGGGCGGGAGCACTGCTGAATTTGTTGTAACGTTTTTATCAACAAAACTAACAAAGATATCAACTCCTCCATAACATTTTACCAATTTAAGTTTCAACGAAGGGATTTTACGCAAAACGAGTGTTTTGCAATCCGCCGAAACGTCCTTCATGCTGAACAACCTGTGATTACCACCTTAAAAGAATCAGTCACCCAGACTGACTATCGAAGCCATGTGATGTCGTTAATGAGTAGACCGTTTAACCTAAGTGATTAAAAAATTCTGACAGCTTATGAGCTTCTTTGCAAAGATTAGTGGATCCATTGATGAAGATATTACAACGGTCTCTCTGGTGTTTGTCTTCAACAGTGAAATTCACAGCTGTAACTTCCAATGAACTTCGCAGTTACTGAGTTTCAAGTTCACTGAAACATATTAAGACGGCTTTTAGCTTGTTGCACTGATTTTCACGCTTGTGTTCTCTTATCGGGGACGTGTTTGGAGAGAGTTGAATTTTGCATAAAACGAGATCTCCATATCTGTTGTCTGATCACCCTGCAGCAAAACAAAAACAAAACAATTTCTGAACAACTGAATACAAGCGAAAAAACCCAGACATAAAGAGGCGGGCAATTTCTCGTTTATTTATCAGACATGAACGTCCCTAGCATGTCGAAGCCTATAACTTACGTCTAAAACATGGATAAACCAGAGAAAAGGATAACTAAAGTGAAGTTTTGAGATTGACGAAGCCAGTGTTGATTCCGTCGAATGGCAACACCTTACTGCAAAAACTCCTTACATAATTAATACGAAACATGATTACATAACCTACGGATAAACACACGTCTATCTTGCAATAACATGGGAACGTGAAAATAAATAAAATTATTTAAATTGAATCAAATAGAATTATTTAAACAGACAGTAGGAGTATCAAACCCTCTCCCTATGGCATGAAATGAACAAAAATCGTCAGCATGGAATTATTTACAGGAACCTTTAAAACCAACCACACGTATGAGGCTACAAATAAATCATCTCCTTAAAATGCCTTTTCTTTTTGGGAACATTCGGTTATCTGATTGCTTTGCTCAATGATTTGGACTACTTGGCTGCTTGGTGTGGTTCTCCAATTTGAAGGGCAACGTTTGAGTGCATCAGCGTCTACATGCGAGTCACGTGATCAATGTCTTACTGAAAGTTCTGCGCTGTACAAAGCGCTTGTTGGATTCACTTACCGGACCCTAGAGAAATTGAAGCCTCTTGAATGTCATCAAGCATGTAATGCAGACTTCCTTTGCCAAAGTTTTAATTACGTCATGTTGAAAGAAACGTGTGAACCCAACAACAGGACGAAAGATGCGAGGCCTGGGCATTCCCTACCAGATAAAGACAGGTTTTACGTGAAGCGAATCACAAATCGAGGTACATATACACTGTTTAACAAATTGACGTCAGTTTTTCCTGCGTCTGTCCTGTTATTGATCATGAATTTCTTCATAACACTGTCAAAGTGGATCAACACACGAATTTACGTGCAACGCTCAAATGGATTTTCAGTACACGTGAAAACCGTTTTCCTAAGTACTTTTCGTACAAACAAGGCTAAAAATGGATCGAAGATTGTCCTTTTATGAATCCTTGCAATTACAAATGGTAGTAAAAAAAATAAAAACGTACGAGTCACGCCTAACTTAAACATCAGTATTGATTTTAAGCCCGCCATGGTTGGGCAGTGATTACTTCAGGCTGGATTGTACTTTCCACCTCATAGATATGCGTTTTTATTTTTCTTATCAGTTAAACTTGGATCAGTTCGAGAACTGGCCGCATTCTCTTGTCATGAAACTGCTGAGAGTGACAGCGAGAATATTGCCAGCGGTAACTATTGGCTGAAACCCATCAATTCTATGGCGCCACCATCTCTGGTTTACCGCGCCATGACACCAGAAGGTGAGATTTCAAAATTATGGCTCTCGTGTATAGTGCCAAGAAACTTAGCCAAGAGGGGGTTGTTTTTTTGCGACAAAAAAAATGGAACTTAGCATGATGGTTGCACGCAAGTGCTACTGTTTGATCTAAAATGTCGAAACGATCGTTTTCAACTTGTGTCCAAAAAAGCAAAATTTTAGAAACCGCACTGCAAGTTTTAATATGTTTAGTTCGTTTCTTGACTGACAGCAATCTCTCTTTTGGTTCTAAAATCCGCGAGAAGAACGCTTAACCTGAGTGAACAGACATGACTCTGGGGGGAGGAGGGGAGTGGTTAGAAAATCATGCTCCTTTGTTCTGTTTTTCATGTTGCATCGCAGATGTTAGGGAAAAAGAGATACTGCTGGCAGTATTGGCAGTATTGCTGGCAAGTCTTCACCATGTAAGACAATGGTAGATTAAACTGTTGGCACTGTTTGATCAGGTCTTTCGAGATCATCAACATGACATCACTCAAAACATAATTTTGTATAGATCTAGAGTCTCACACAGGGTTTCAATTCTTCCTGGCTAAGGGCCTTCCAAGGGCCCTTCCAAGGTCTGATTACCAATTAGACCCATAGCCCTTGCAGGCTACGAGTCAATAGCCTATAAGGAGAAGCCGAATGGGCTTTTGACCCGTGGCCGTTGAGGGTGAAGGGTCTAATTGTTTTAGTATCACCCAACTAGTCGGACAGAAAAGGCAATAATAAAGTTAGCAAATGCAAGTTGAAGAAATATTTATTTGGGAATAAAACGAAAGAATTAAAGCGTCACGCTCGATTGCGCCAATTTCGCTACTCGGGGACTATTACTAATAGTCCTGTAGTAGCGTAGCCTATTAAAATGCAGGATTTGCATTAGTCCACTAGTTGGGTGATACTAAAACAGACTATAAGGTTAGTATTAATCATATACTATACAGCCCTAAACAGAGCCTGCGAGCACAGTGTTCTAGCAGACGTTCTAGTACGGGGGAAGGGGGGAGGACGTTCTCCTATCCTCCACCCGTACATTTCAGTAAGAGCTGCCGAGAACCTCACTGGCTACTTTCAATCTTTCAACGTAGCTGCACTGTTTGAAAATTAGTTCAACTTTCTTACCCGACAGAATTTGAACATTTTGTGTTTAAGAACGTTTACATCATTATAAATCGTTTATGTAACATTTCATTTCAACAGGGAGCAATAGAAGACTTGGCATCCTTCAAGTGTTTTTAGTTCCCAACACCTCTAATTATTCCATCACAGTGTCCGGGGCCCGAGGCGGCACACATAGCTATAATTATGGTTTCCGTCCTGGGACATATTACGGAGTTAAAGGTGCAAAGATACAAGGGATATTTCACCTAAGCAAAGGAACCGTGCTTAATGTAGTAGTGGGAAAAAGAGGAAGAAAGTCAGTGGAAATAGAAGGAGGACAACGCACCACCAAGACGGCGGCCGAACTGGGAATGTCAGTAGAAGATAACGCCGGAACAGGGGGTGAAAGAGGGAGTTTTGTGTATGATATAAATAACAGCCTTTTAATTGCATCCGGAGGGGAGGCGGTGCATCCGGAGGCGTGCATGGAAAAGATGGTCAGGCTGGAAGAGATGGCACCAGTAGCGCGACTCCATTGGGCCACTATTGGAGATATGTTAGAAAAGGAGGGAAGCAGGGTAATCCCGGTCAGTGCAATACTCAAAACGGGAATTATCATGGCGGAGTGGGTGGGGGCTGGTTGGATAAAGGTTGTGCACGATCTGGAACATCCCACGGTGAGACTGGAGGATCACGTCTTCAGGGTTGGGTGGGAGGATTGGCAGGCAGGATGAACAGCGGAAATAACGGAGGACCCTCTCCAGGTGCAGTCGGTGGGTTTGGTGGTTGGGGTGGAGGCGCCGAAGATAACGGAGCATCTGGTGGCGGTGAGGGATTTTCTGGGGGTGGGAGTGGTGTAAGAGGTTACGTCGCCAAAGGTGGTGGTTCTCATTGTGGGGGTGAAAGTTGTTCAGGAGTCACGTGTGGGAATCCGTTTGATTACGGAATGGTAATTATTCAAGAAGAGCCTTAAAATAGCAAGTAAAACGCTGAACACAAAAGCGTACCCCATTTGAGGTCATTGCTGGTTTTATGTATCAGAACGCCATTTTGCAACGCCCGACATTTTCTTTAGGGAGAAAAATTCAAAATTTGTATGGGCTATCAAATGGTGAGGAGTGAAATAGAGACTGGGCTCGAGCCGGGAAACATGGCGGACACGACACGAAAGAGCTCCTAGGATCTTTTAACCTGGTAGCCACAGTAATGGTTGTTATATCTTAAATGCGANAAAAAAAAAGAAAAAAAAAAGAAATTAAATCATTTAACCAGTTTACCATTTGATTACTACTGAACTGTAGTGGAGGCGCGTTAGCCTTATCGTTAGTGCGTTCGCCTACCAATATAAATCGGGTTGCGATTTACAGGCGATCGACATGGTTTATATTAAATAGTTGCCAAACTTTCAGCGAACGGCCAAGTCGATGTATGTACGTGCATCATTTCAGTTGTCACTTAAAATAACACTATGTGTGGAAGATGCGTGGTTCTTCGTTTCCTTTTGGTTTCCTAGAGCTGGATCCTTTGCCTCATGATGACCGCTATGGGTTAGTGCTTGTAACCGCTATGGGTTAGTGCTTTATGTGCCGCGGCATCCCTTATGTGCATAGGCCACGTACGCACCCGCCGATTACGAGTTTTGTTATGTAAATCACAATAAGGTCAGCGACTCTCCATTTGCAACCATCCCATCCCCAATCTTTAACTTAATATTGTTGCGCAGTTGTTTTTGGGCCATCGTTGTCTAGCTTCATAGACTTGTGGGTAACACAGGAGTCTCCATAGTAAGAAAACCAAATATGTTTGTAATCACGGAAATTGTTTTCGCTGTGACACTGACCCTGTTTGAGTAGCAATAGTACACTCAAATTGAGTTGAACTTTTAGTGTGGTTCAATTTCTGAATTTGAACTCCTCCGCGTGTAACGTAGGGGCAACCATAATACAAGAAGCCAAAAAATAGACCAGGTTTAAACCTCAAACTTGGTTGAGTGTTCCAGTTTCCTAAACAATTTTTAAAATAACTCAAGAAAAGTGTGTTAGATAGATGAGGCTGACTCCTTGGTTTCATTCAAGAGTTTTTGAATTTCTTTGGCCGATCTTGTCTCTGTCCAACAGCTTGCTTAGGGTACAGAGGCTTCGTCCTAAAACGAACACTTTATTACTCGCGCTCATTTTGCTTGCTGTAGATTTTTCATTTAGACTTATGTCTGCAACTTTGAAATCGACCTCTCCTGGGGATGTGAGACTAGCTAATGAGAAACACCTCAAAATCTCATCCAGATGTAATCTACAAATGGGTGGGTAACGCTGCCGGATGGATTGACATCCCATTCAGCGGGGGGAAGGGGGAGTAGAAATACTCCCAGACGCTTAATTCCACAGAAACGGTATAAAGTATGTTGTTGTTGTTGTTGTTGTTGTTGTTGTTGTTGTTGTATAAGCTCGGGCAGTGTGGCCACTAGCCTGACGCAGACTTTGGCTTACTTTCAGAACATTGGTACTCGGAGTATCTATTTATTGTATTTCTCATATGGGGTGTCAGGGCAAAGAAATTTTAGAAAGTCATCGATAAATTTTCGGAGTTCCTCGTAAGTTATCAGATGACATAGTGAAAACATAGTGAAGACCTTACTTCTGATATCAAAGGCGCCAGCCATTCTTTTATAAAAATCAATGTTTGTTAGATGACGCCAGCAACATATTTTGATTTATTTTTACTCGTGGTCACTCATGTTTACTTATGGGCACTCGTGGTCATTCCTGTTTATTCGTCAATTTGTCGTATCTTCGTACAGAGCTGAGGTAACACAAGAGCCACGTGAGAAAGTCGCGACTAGTTTAGAAGTTGTTGCAGCGCTATCAAAATTTTCCGCCGCGATTTAGAAAAGTCACTGACGCACTTTAGAAAGTTGGTACTTGTTGCAGTAAGACTACGATGTCCCTTCTATGCCACAGTGCGATTACCTAACTTTGAAATAAGGTTTCTCTTTCTCGTCTTTAAAAAGTTCAACACCGATGTCGATTAAACCACAATAAAGCAGCTCTCTCAATCGTGTGATCTGCTCAGCTGTCTGAACAACCAAGTTCAGACCGTTGATCAGCAGCCGTAAAAAGCTGGGATGATGCGACCCTGAGAAATCAAGACAACCTCACCAAGCCAGCAATGGAAAGTTGACAGGCCCGTCTATAAGGCCACATGGCTTTTTGTTTGTACTCTTCTAAGTGGAATTAGATTTGATGACACCCTTTATCTTAAGACAGATCCGACTGACCGGTAAGACAAACTATTACAGAGATAATTGCACGGCTAACCCTCTTTCTACCCGGCACGAATCATCCGGCTCCCTACTGCCCGGGAATAATAGCGGCCTTTAGGTCTTCTATCACTCAAACAACTCTCGCGTTGATGCAATGTTTAATTTGACATCAGAAATCTGATTTTACATGCAAGTATGTTTCATCAAGCCTGGCCAGCTCTCAATGTATATTGGTAATAACCTGTGTAGTCAGCTTTTGATTTTTAACTGTAGAACTCCATCTATGATGCATGCAAGTAAGTTTAATTTAGCCAACAGACTTGGCCAGCACTGTTTGGAAATTACCTGTCTAGTCGATATTCAGTTTTAATCTCTAGATCTAGATTTCGATCATCCCTTGGCCATAGTTTTAACTAATACAATGGAACCTCGATTTAACGAACCTCTATACAAGGAAGTCCTCGGTATAACAAACGATTTTCCTGGCTCCAGTAAAAGTAAAATATAGGAAAATAACCTCCACACAACTAAACCTCGTTATAGTGAACATATTTTGCCAGTCCCTTGGCCCTTCGCTATATCGAGGTTCCTCTGCACCTACTTTATGATATTTTTTGCGATCACTTGATTAATATGCGGTAGATTACAGTTGTTCTTCTTTTCCTTTCGGTTGGCCCTGACCAGGATCATTTGCCTTGTGATGAGCGCCATGGTTAGCTACCGATTTACGTGCGACGTAATCCTTGCTGGGTAAGGACCACACAACTTTCCGCCAATCACGATCTTTGTTATAGCAAGCACAATACGACCCAGCGTATTTCCAGTCGCAACCTTGCCATGACGTGTCATCTTTAGTATTAGCGTATGCAGTTTCCTTAGTTACACCTGTGTTTTGTTCCTCTTTCTTGTAGAACACACATGTTGGGCCTCGACAGGAACACCAAATTGGTTTGTAATGGCAGTCGTCGTCGCTGTGACAACCCTCTTTAGCGAGAGTACATTCGAACTCTGGATACATATCGTTGGACTTCTCGGTGTAGTCGAATTTCTGTATTTGAACTTTGTTCTTTCCTTTGCCACCTTTTACGTATGGACAACCATAATTCAAGAAGCCAAGGTAGTAGTACTGCAGGTTTAGGCCGCGGCGGTAGTTGGGTGATCCTGAATGAAACCGGCTTTGTAGAACTTTCCAAACGGCTCTGAAGGTGTGCTGGACAGATGAATGTGTGTCTGCGGCTTCGTTCATAAGCTGTTGAATCAGTTCCTTTGATCTGTCGTGTAACAGCTTGCTACGGGTTTCCCTGCTTCCTCCTCTAATGAAAAGTTTATCAGTCGAGCTCATTTCTCTGGCTTGTTTTGATTCACTTTTACTTATATTTGCGCATGCAGAGACACCGACCTTCCCAACGGATGTGGGGCCCGCTAACGAGATGCAGCTTTTTACCTGAAATTCTCTTTCACTGAAAGATTCAGAGCTCTGTGAAAATGACATTTGTTTAATTCTTGCTCCACGCTTAACGGAAGTAACAATATGGGAACCGTAAGTGTCCAAGAAATCATGATATGGCTTCCACGAATTCCGCAACCAGGGTGCATCAATCGTCAAAGGCAATGCGACCAGTTTCTCTATAAATCTCTTCTTGAACTTGAAGCTATCGTCATTTAGACAGTCATTGTCTAGATAGATCTTTTCTGTTAGTGACTCGACGATTAAGGAAATTCCACTCGCTTTCGATTTTTTCGAACTTGTGCTCTGTGTAACACTATTGAGCGTAGTGCTCAGAGAATAAGCTGACTGCAATGAGGCATCTAATCCAGCTTGGGTAGCCAATTTTGAATAGAAGGCCTTAGTACTTGCATAATATTCAAAATGACTTCCCGTGGAGTTCAGTTTTTCCTTTCTGAAGCATTCTGAAGGAAAAGCCTCAAAAATGCTTGTTTCTTTTTCCTTAAAGTCCTCCAGTAAGTTGGTTTTTCCAAGGTTAATGACTTTTCCAAGCTCTTGTGTTTCGCTGGTCGTCAGAGTGTCTTCGGTTCCTCCGCCACTGGGTATAGATACGGTCAGGTAAATGACTAGCATCAAAGGTACAATTGCAAACATGGTTCCTGGGTGTGTTGCCTGTCTACAAGGACAACAGTGTCAATCGAATAATGCACCCTGTGTAAAAATCAATCAGTCAACATTTTATTTAAACACGCTGCGCTTTAGATCTAAGTAAGCTCGATCAAAATACGAATGCATGTGTATGCCAACTGAAAAAACAAATAAATAAATAAATAAATAATTAAACAAATTGCATTGTCACCAAAACAACACAGTTAAATATCTATAGTACAAAATATGCACAGTCATGTATTTATATGTGTACCGTTAACGCTAAAAATTCAGCTATGTACAAAGTAGAAATGTAAATAACATAACGATAGGCCTATAAACATGCAGTAAAAGGTCTACCGTTCCCAATTTACTACTAAAATTAGCAACATAGCTGGCCAGCTTTCAGTTCTTTACTTATGCCGGATCATGCATATGCATACACAGACGGACCAGTCTATGTGTTCGTGGTTAATGAACAGAATCTATGAGGGTTATGAATAAAACTCTGAAAATTGCATATCTAAATTACATCTCGGTCTGACTATCCCACTAAAGTTAAATGAAACGTTAATCGACTCATGTGTGGTGTTTTTTCGCTTTCCTGGCCCGTCTGAAGCGTCTATTTACGAAATTACTTTTGGCCGGAGACCAAAAGAGCGATGGACTGCCGTGGTATGCCAAGCGCTGATTGGTAGATTTGAAACGGCCTGCATGCCTTGAATTACTTTGGTCGCTGAGTTTGGCACCGATCATATTGAGAAAGCTGTTTTTGTGATTTCAGCATCGATTTTCTCGGAAAATATATGAGGGATGAAGCTCAAATTCGGCGAAGAGATAGAAAAAAAATCTCGTCGATTTACAACCGTCGCCATTCAGGTGAGATTTTCAGTATTTTGGCGTTAATTTCAGTTTGAAGTGGAGGAGGTCGCGGCTAGCGGCCGCCAAGTTGCAAGCCTGGTCTCCCTCTCTTGTCTTACCGGTCT